CTCGGCGCCCCCTCCCCGCCCCAGCCCCCCAGGGCAGCGGGGCCGGGGGGGACCCGGGGGGCCGGCCGCCGCCTCCGCCCAGAGGAAACTTTACCCAAACAAAATATCATCGAGCTTTCCGATCGTGACTGTCCCGGGACAAGTGGCCCAGGACGGGCAGAAGCTACAGCCTGCAGAGACTCAGGAAGAGGAAAAAACGGTGAGCGGGGCCACTGCCGCCGCTTCTACCCCGGCAGCGCGGAAGAGACCCGGGTGGTTGCCTGGTGGAGCGACGCTTAGCACCGCTTCTTCCTCAGTTCTGCGCCGAGCCTTTCGCAGCTGCCGCCTCAGCCCGAAGGAGGAAGGGAGTCAGTCCACATTGTCAGCGCCACCGCTCGTCTCTGAAGCGTGAGTAGACTCGGGGGAGGGGGACATTCTAGAGTGGCAAGTGGGAACCGGTGGGTCCTTGATGCTGGAGTTTGACTGTTTCTCCGGAGGGTCGGCTGTAGAGACTTGCCCTTCCTGCTGGGGGGAGAGGCATCAGTTTGCATGAGTGATGGAGTTTCTCTTAGAGGAGCTGTGTCTCCAGAGTGGGCGTTTGCACCTCTCTGCACTCTGACTGGCAAGGGAAATCGAGAAAGCCCATGGACAGGTTTGTCCTGTGTCCTGTACATTTTTCCTGGCTACCGGTTGTGATCCAGCATAGTGGTTTTTGTTTCAGGGAAACTCCCATGGAATCCCACGTGGGAATCACTTGAATCAACTCTTTAAAATTTCTTTCTGAACTGTTGTTTTGAAGTTGTCCATAAGAGGAAGACCACTTTTCATTCTAGTCCACACGGGAGCTTGGTGCTCCCGACGCCTTATTTCCCGAGTCCAGAGATTCCACTGTGAGGTGGACTAGCACGTTTCAGTAGGTCAGGAGAGTCCGCGTTTCTAGGATGCGGAACTCATGGACACTGAATCTGGAGAGAGCCCTTAATGCAGCACCATTTTCTGGAAGTTCCAGCTCTTCTTTCCTAATACTCTTTTCTCTTTTGCTGTCACGTATTTTCTGTGATAGCACATTTTTACCGGGGACTGATAGGCCATGCCTGAGAGTTTTCTTACTTGGCGCCAGTTGTCATTTTAGGAGAAACTTCTTACTCTTTCAAGAAAGTATTTCAGGTATTTTAAGAGTGCTTAGAAATACAGAAAAGTAATGTTTCACATATATAAGGTCAAACTGAGCTCTGTAAGGGTTAAAACATACCGTGGGATCTTGTGTAGCAAGGAGCACAGGTAGTGTAAGACCGAGAATTCTGGTCCATTCACACAACTGAATGTGGGCAGAGTCAGATGCTCTGTAGAGATGAATGGGAACCTGGGCTTGCCCATCCATCGTAATCTCTCCATTTAGGATCAGATTAAATCTGAAAGTTTGTTACATTTTGCGGTGGTTGGGTCCTGTTCTCCTCCCCACTCTTTTTAAAGTAATGAGCCTGAAAGTTTATCAGTTTCTGCATTGTGTAACAATTCACTCACCTTCATCTTGCCTCCTCAGACTTCTGAGATACAGTTTAAGAAGTGCTAAAACAACCATGGGTTGTTTTCTTGCTTTCATAAACTTTGGTATTCTCTTCTGTCAGCTGTCCCAACTTTTTAAACTTAGGGTACTTTTAGCTTTTTTTCCCCCTCCATTTCTTTGATCACTTTACCTTCTTTTGGATCATCTAGCATTTTTTGTTTTTCCTTATGCTTTGTTTTTCTCATGTTTTCATAAGACACTGTAAATTCTACTTAGTGTAAATGGGAATTGGCATGAAAATATTGACTGGTGAATGTAACTTTAGGTGTAGAATAAAACATGCTTTTGGATCTGTTAACCTTATCTTGTTACTCTGAGAAAGTCATGTATTCTGTTTTTCAGAAAAGATAATTGAGAAGCCTAGTCTTGGATACTTTGCTTTTTGGGAAGAAGGGGGATGTAAACCTGAAAATTTTACTTTGAGTGTGTATTATATCTAGTCAGTTTGTTTACTAACTTGAGGATCTGCTTTGCAAATTGGTTTTAAATTATGAAAGTACTTTATTGAACGTAAAAATAACGAAACGTTTGATACTCTCAGTCCTTGGGATACCTTTTCTTACCAATGACAGAGGCAATCCAATATAAATGTCATAAAACTGTAGGAGATGGCCCAGTGGATAAAGCTGCTTTCTGTCTAAGTCTGAGGACTTGAGTCTAATTCGGAGAACCATAGGTGGGAGGAGAAAACCGACTCTACAGAGCTGTTCTGCCTTGTGTCACTTGCACACGCGTGGCTTGTGTCACGTGCACACGCATGGCAGTGGTGGTAGTAGTAGTGGTACTAGTAGTAGTCAAAGTAAACAGATGTTTTTAAAAATGTGAGGGGGGGATGTGTTATCATTATTACTCTACGATCACTGTTCGCCAGGGACTGTCATTGCACGTTCATTAGGGAAAAGTTGATTTTGGACTACCCAGGAATAATCGGAGTCTCCGAGCCATATCTTGGAAGGGTTCCTCAGGAAGAAAAGAACATATACAAACAAAATATTAAAGACCTAGAGTCAGAACATGTAAAAGGTGAGGTCTAACTAGGAAGTTAGCTTGGTGGGAACCCTGCTGACTGTGGAGGGTTTCAGTGAGGGTTAGGGTAGGTGTATACTGCCTATATAGCTGCATGGTTACAGTTCATAGAAGCGTTTGAAAGCCGCTCCAGAGAGGGCTGTTTCAAGTGATTGGGAGAAATTATATTTAGGCACAAAGATATTATGCTGACTCTAGGAAACCAACATTTTTACAGTATGGTGGCTGCACAGAAGGAGGCGTGAAAAAGGAAATGCTTTGGATGTTTTTTAGCTTGATGCTAGTAGTTTCTCATGAGCAAGAATTCAGAAATGGGCAGCAGCAGACTTTGCTTTGGATGTTGAATTTGGGGTTAAGAACTGAATGTCCATCTAGTTCTTGTGTTGGCTCATTCTGTTTTTCTTTTCCTCCCTCTCTTAACTGCTTCTCACTTACTCTTTGTTTTTTGACTCTCTTGTCCCAGGCTGACCTTGAATTTGCTGTGTAGTTGAGGATGACCTTTAACTTCTAATCCTCCTGATCCTGCCTTGACTTCCGGAATGCTAAACTTACTGGTGTGTGCCACCATTTCTGGCTTATGTAGTGTCGGGAATGGAACCTAGGGCTCTGTGCATTCTAGCAGGTACTTTGCCGACTGAGCTATATCCACAGGACCCTGCCCCACGTAGCTTTCAAGACCGAAAAATAGTTTGGGTACCATGCGGCAGTGTGGGTAGAGATAGATGAGCATCGGTCTTCAAACCTTTAGGTTTCTGAGATCAATAATACTGAGTAAAGAGCCGAAAGATGAGTTTTAAGTTTGGGGGACGGGTCAGAGGTTGTTAGCTTAGGCACAGGCATAACAAGAGGAGAAGACATTCTCCAAAAGAGATGCTTCGTAAGTGAGCAAAAATGGCAGCTGAAAAGATGAGCAGTCTTAAAACCTAGCCGCCCACCCAGTCTCGGGATCTAATTCTGTCTCAGAAACAGTTAGTACTCAATAGAGTGCTTAGATCCTGAGGTACGTGTTCAGAAGACAGGACTTTGTTAGGGAACTTACACATAAAATGGAAAATTAGTTGCTCCAAACTCTTGTCAGGTGTTTGATACTTTCTGATATTATTATAATCTTGGTGTCCCCCCCCCCTCCAGTTTCTCTGTGTAGTCCTGACTGTCCTTTGCCTCCTTCGGTGATCTAGGGATGAAAAGTGTGCACCACCACAGCTCAGCCTGGTCTCCATACTGAGAGTGGGGCTGAAACTTGCTGAAGGCGAAGACTGTTTTTAGCTCTCACATTCAGGGATAGCAGCTTGTGTCCATACAGTGGAGGGATGGCCTGTGTTGGCACAGAAGTGTTAGGGGTACTTCAGAATGTTCAGGCATCTTATGTTTACCGTTTGGTGTTGGCTTTGGCAAGGATAAAAGATAGGGAGTAGAAATACATAATCATCTTTCTATTCCTTAGCTTGAATTCAGTGCCTTCCAAAGCTACTTTGGCTTCTTAAGAGAATGTCCAGTTGGCAGAAATCCAGGAATCGATATTTTTTTAAGCAAAGAGGTAGGTCTACCCTGATGTTAGAGTGAGGAGACAGTGATTGGAATATCTGCTGTATAGTTTTTTTTTTATACTTTCCCCATTTCTTACATGGGCAAAGATATGCTTAAGTGTTTTAAAAAGGCAACTGTTTAGCATTAACATGTTATACTAATATGGTGGGATTTCATTGTGGGGAATGGTCACATCTATATTCTTTGTTGTGGCAGTTTTGCTATTAATAAGAGAACCTTGAGGGTTTGTATCTGTATGTATCTTAGGACCAGAGGGCTCCAGAGCATGTGTGGCTTAGCAGCAGCTCATTTAAATATACTTTGAAGATGATTCTTGGAGAAGGCTTGAGGGACATGAGGAGGGGTTGGCAACCTTTCTGTGTGGGTCAGCGTGCTCTGTCACAACTTGTAGTGCCTTGCCCGCCATGTGAAAGCAGCCGTAGATGACAATGGACTGAGCTATAACTGCTGCAATGGGATCTCATGCATAAAATCAAGGAGTTGATGGTGCTAGGACTGTGGGCTGAAGTCTATAATCCCCTGGCAGAGGACAGCTAAATCTACCGGCGTATAAAGTGAGCTACATTGAACTACAAGGCCAGATTGGCCATTTTACGTGGGTTCTGTTTTCCAGATGATGTGATGCTTTGTAATGATTTGCCTTCATAGTGCTGAGAAGTATGGACTAAGAAGCAGGCATGATTCTCTCTAAATGGATCTAAAAAGATGAGACCCACGTTTAAAGATGCCATAATTGAAGTCTTAGTTTCTTTTTTGTTTCTGTGACAAAGCTTCATGATGTAGCCCCCCTCCCCACCCCCACAGCATTTAATTGTGCTTACAGTTTCAGAGGGTGAATCTGACCATCATGGTGGGTAAGCATGGCGGCAGGCAGTCATGGCACTGGAGAACTAGCTGAGAGCTCATGTATGCACGAGAGAAACTCAAAGTCCACCCAGTGGTAAACTTTCTTCAACAAGGCCACACCTCCTAGTCTTTCCAAAACAGTTTTTACCAACTGGAGACCAGGCATTCAAATATGAGCCTATGGGTTGTTCTCATTCAAATCTCCACAGCTGACACAGAGGAGATACTCGTTTTGTATTCCGGCTAAAAGAATTTGTGAAGGAGTAAGTCCTCCCACCCCTACTTGGGATTTGAACTCGGAAGCATGATGCATGTTGATCAGGCATTCTACCACTGAGCTACATCCCCAGTGGTAGGAGCTTACTTTTGAAAGGTTCTGAAAATAAATTGTAAAGCATTTGCTTTTAATATGAAATTAAAA